ACAAAAATGTATTGTATGGCCTTGATAGACAGCAGACTGTTACAGTTGACTTTTTTTCCTTTTTGAAGAGCCCTGACAGTCACATTTAACATGGTTTTGAATTTTGGAATAAACTACAGATTTAATGCTCCTACAAAGCAGTACAATTCATTAGTTACTGGACTTGAATGTTACATATTTTTGGAACTACTCACGTTTCACTTATTATTCAAACAGAACATATGCAGATTGTTTTCACTGTTTTAAGTCAAGTCAAGTCAAGTCACCTTTATTTATATAGCGCTTTTAACAATACAGATTGTGTCAAAGCAACTGAACAGCATTAATTAGGAAAATAGTGTCAATAATGCAAAGCTTTTCAGTTAAAGACAGTTCATCATTGAATTCAGTGATGTCAACATCCAGCTCAGTTTAAATAATATTAGGCTTTTTTTAATATCCCCTTTAAACGTCATTACCCCTAAAATGAATGTATTTCACTGCCAATATATAGCAGCAGAACAGTGTCCACTCAGATCTGATAGACAGATTTAGTCTTTGGATTGTTAAAATGTGCATAGGATACATTAAAGTCATTAAAATAGCTGTCACATCTGTAAAGTATAAAACATTGAAATACACAACATTCTGAGAAGTCCATAAAGGTTTAAAGGACCCAGTGTTTGGTGTTGTAATGTAATGACATTCTTGATTTTGCCAACTTTGTATGGGAATGGGGGAAAATGCCTCATTATTCTTAGGCTTTTTTTTTTTTTTTTACTTCCATACAGAATTATTTTATCTGATTGTTTCTACAAGGTTGTTGTCCAAATATTTACAGGTCCCCAGCTTTGTTTAAAAGTTTATCCTTTGGGTTTTTTGTAAAACAATTTAAAGCAAGCGGTGCTGATCCAGACCTATACAGTCATGGCCAAAAGTTTTGGCAGTGACATAAATTGTGTTTTACAAAGTTTGCTGCTTAAGTTGTTGTGGTGTTCATTCACATTTTTTCTAGATTATTGTGTAGAGTGATCAGATGTATTTTAAATAATTGCTAAGAGCTTCATTGGCCAAAAACTTTTCACAAAAAAATAAATAAAAAATTTACTTTTTTGATCCTGACACAAAATGACCAGCTAACATTAATTGACTAATCATATCAGCAGAACATGTGAAAGTGTGAATGAGTACTAGTCAGGTAAAATCACTATCATACTAATTAGATCGTAAGAGCAAACGGATTGCTATAAAAGGAGGGAAGAAGCGTTTCCCATCATTGTATTCTTGTTAGCAATGGTTACCTCCAAAGAAACATGTGCACCCATCATCGATTTGCATCAAAATGGCTTCACATGCAAGGGAATTGCTACAAATACTACTGCACCTGAAAGAGCCATTTACCGGATCATCAAAAACTTCAAGGAGAGAGGTTCGACTGCAGTCAAGAAGTCTTCAGGATGTCTTAGAGTGTCCAGCAAGCGCCAGGACCGTCTCCTCTTGAGGAGTCAGCTACAGAATCGTGTCACCAGCAGTGCAGAGCTTGCTCAGGAATGGAAGCAGGTTGGTGTGAGAGCATCTGCACGCACAGTGAGGCCAAGACTTTTGGACAATGGCCTGGTGTCAAGAAGGGCAGCAACGAAGCCACTTTTCTGAGACCATCCATGTGTGGGGTTGCTTTTCAACCAAGGGAGTGGATTCTCTCATAATTCTGCCCAAAAACACTGCCATGAATAAAGAATGGTATCAAAACATCCTGCAAGAGCGACTTCTTCTGAAGATCCATGAGCAATTTGGTGATGATCCGTAAATTTTCCAGCATGATGGAGCACCATGTCACAAAGCAAGAGTGATAAAGAAGTGGCTCGAATATCATTACATTGAAATTTTTGATCCGTGGCCAGGCAACTCCCCATGATTTACCAATAAAAGCCTTTAAAACGTATGATATGCTTATCATTGTTTTTCAGTATACCATAGAAACATGTGGAAAAATAATCTACAAATACTGAAGCAGCAAACTTTGCAAAACACAAAATTTATGTCACTGCCAAAACGTTTGGCCATGACTGTACACATCATACCAGCCCTGTTTGGTATTACAAAGGTATTGCAAGCACTTAATACAACATCATGTGAACTAAGGTCTTTTGGTGACAGCAAACAAACTTAATTATATTTATGCAGGCTGTAGAGTGTACTGCATTATGGGATAACAATATTGCAAAGTAATATCTTGATTAATATCTGCTTAAATGTACCCACTTAAATACAATTAGTAAATTCAAGTGAGAGGTTTTCTTATGAAATAGTGTTGATTTCTCATTTGTTTTGAAGTATTTTTGTAGGTTTTGTTTAAAGGGGTCATATGATGTGATTTAAAGTTTTTCTTTCTCTTTGGAGTGTTACAAGCTCTTGGTGCATAAAGAAGATCTGTAAAGTTGCAAAGACTAAAGTCTCAAATCCAAAGAGATATTCTTTATAAAAGTTAGGAGTCAACCACGCCTACCTAAAACGGCTCGTTCTAACACGTCCCCACATGTCTACGTCACAATGTGGGAAGATTTGCATAACACCGCCAAATATTCACGCAAAGAAAGAAGGCGTAACTTTTATTCTCGCTGTAGTATTGTTGTTGCCGCCACCACCATGTCGTGAAGGCACTTCGTCATGCCTGGAGCTGATCCATGCTGGTCGTTGAGGAAATACATCAACTTTGCGCTGTGGATCGCCGGATCGGCTTTCGCCATGGATGAAGTGGAGTCCAGCCCGGGGTCGTCACATGTGGCTGCCGCAAGCCCGCCGGCCTCCGCTCACTCGTTGTGTAAGTGAAACTACTTTGTTTGGCCTTCCAAAAGAGGATACAACTAGACATCAGTGGTTAAGTTGGTTTTACAACACTGTTCCAGAACAGTTCAACCCAAATATTGAGATGTGTGCAGCACATTTTATGGAGGACCGTTTCCTGATCCTGGTAGAGTAGACTACAATGCCGGCTGTTCTGACTCACAGACTGTAAGTACGTTTTTCATATTTTAAGGATTTGCCACTGATGATTCAAACGCAAGTTTTGAGCAGTGTAGAGCAGCACTCGATGCAACGCAACTCGTAAAAAGACAGTATCATTATAATCCGTAATTATGTCCCCACTGGATGCAACAAATGCCTCGTTTATAATGGGTTTTAATGTGTTTGTCTCGTCGCTCCGGCCGGACAGGGCATCACAGTATGGTAGGGGCGTAACATTTCTGTCACACGCTTGAGTTATTCGGCCAATCACAACACACTGGATAGCTGGCCAATCAGAGCAAACCTCGCTTTTCAGACCGATGAGCTCATACAATAATGTACAGTATGTGGAAAATGTGTTAAACAGCATAAAAATTTAATTACACTAAATACACAAAATAATGTTATTTTTAGCAACATCATATGACCCCTTTAAATATCTAATTAAATATCTAGATTTTTTTGCACATTATTCTCATTACCGACAACCTACATTATAACATTTGAGTGTGTGTGTGTTTTAGAGAGATACGTAATCAACAATTACAAGTTTCAAGGACAAGTATTTTAGTAGCAATACACAGTTGAGTTTTTTTTTACTCCGTCTCTCTGCATTGCAAAGGTGTATTAAGTCTCCAACCAATGAGTCATTGTTTTGATTGGGGACTTTTTTTTTTTTTTTTTGTATATCGTAAATGATTAACACAACACAAATTGCACAAATCCAAAAACACAAAAGCATGAACTATATTAATTTTGAACAGAAGGAATATTACGTTTATACTTGAGAGGGAACAGTTGAACTTTCAGTGTGCATTCAATGAATAGTTCACCCAAGAACCAAGTCAACCACACGTTATTCCTACACCATATATTCTTTCTTTGCAACACTGGTTTCCTTTTGAAGTAACAGACAGCAGCCAGTAACTGCCAAGCTCCAAAGACAACAAAAGGACCACAGAACACCACAGTAGTCCTATAACTCATGAATAACATTCCAGGTCTTCAGATAAAGCTATACTGTATAACCTTTATTTTAGGCACAGACTATAATTAATTTGTACTAAAAACTGTTGCAATGAATGACAACTTTTTTTTTTTGTGAACTAAATATCACAATTTTCAAGTCCTCAAATTGGCAATTTACAAAAAAAAAAAAATCTAATTTAAAAATGCACCCAATAAATACGGTGGAAACACGGACTAAAAAAATAGATTCATAGATTGTATATTTATCATGGATTGTGCATCATGTTCACACTTACCTTTAATGCCATATCATTCATATTTGTGTTTGAATATTTAGCTGCTGAATGTTGTTTTATGAGCATTTAATGAACATCACTGTGAGGTGGACCACTTGATAATACAAGTGCACTAATACCCAGTGTGCATTCATTAAAGAACCCAAATATTACTGCAAAAACTAAAACCTTACCAAATGTATTACATATTTAACCAATGAGGTTGATGTTACAATACATGCTCTCAGAAACAGTCACAGTTGCTGCATATCAAACTTTGTTATTAATAAAAAGTATTTCTTAGTATAAGGACTCTCTTTTTGTATCAAAAATCAGGCATGGAGCTCATGTTTAAACTGCAGTATTTAAAAATAAAAAGGTTTTTAGGGTCACAAGTGGAATTTTACAAATATATAGAAATACAAATGTATAATGGGAGGTTTCACAACAAAAAGCTTCGGTCTAGCCAAACTCTGTGTAAGTCATAAGTATTTTATGCAAAATTCATGCCCATGTTTCCTGGCAACTTATGTGGCAAACCAAATAATAAGCAGGCCATTAACAACCACTGGAACAGACCTGTCATTAAATATGCTGCCACATGAGAAGCCAGTAAACTACTTTGTAAGCAAGTCATGTGACTTGCATCAATCTGAAGAGTTTCTTTCAAATCTTTAATTACAGCTTAGCCACCAAAGTTTCACAATTCAGCTGAACAGGCAGTTTTTAATATCAACATAATGTGAAAAATGAGTGTATAAGGGTTCTTTATGAGACGGTTTTGTAAGCTTTATTGAGTGTGTACATGTGTGTGAACTACAATCATTTTTCAGGGCCAAATACATTAGATCTATGGAATAAAAATAAAGAAAGGGTAACATCTACAATCAAATGCACCACTGCTACAAAACCACACACACAATGCTTACGCTATTAAAATAAGATTGTGGCTAAAACAAAAAAAGGATTTACATTACACCAAGCCCATAGCGTGTTCTACGGGATCGACCAACAACTAAGCGCCAGTTTCTGAAGAGATGTTGCTCTTTCTTCATCAGGCAGTACATTTTAGAAATGAAGAATTTCATGAACTGGTGACCTGGAAAAAGAAGGCGACTAGTTAAAAAGACATGAAGAGTATTTTAAAAACGTGTTTGTATAATGACAGTGGATCACATTTCATACTAAGAACACAGTTACTGAATAAGGCCAATTAAATCTAAAACTGTAAATTTTTTTCCTTCAGAAATAAATTGTTGGAATCTATACCCAAAACATTCTTGAACTTAAACAGTTTTAGATGTAAATGAGTAAGCTGATAGAAAACATGTTCTAAATCATGTCTCTGGCTTTCTGTCTGCATCCACAATGACTATCAGTCTTGGCTAATCAAAAGATCTGAATTATTAGAAACTTACCATAAATGCTGTATAAATGTCATTACAAAATCTCCTAAAAATACTTGGTGCGGTTGAGAGCTCTCTGAGCAAGCTGGCCGCTCTCATCCGTGATTTTCTCCCAGTCTGTCTGACCGACTACAAAACCAATCGCACGCTTTCTGTCAGCGTCCTTCTTCTCTTCGAGATCAGCCCAGCGCACCTGGAGGATCAGCAAGTTTAATGAGTGCAAAATATTTGTTTAAATCATGACCCTCACTAAACGGAGCAAGAAAAGAAAATTCAAATCAGATCAACTGGTGAGAGTCTTCAGTAATAAAAAAAGCCCCTCAATTTTATTTTTATTTTCAAAAGAGGGGTTTCAATCTGCAATTCTCAAGAACATTCCAAGTAAGAACTGAACAACAGGTGACTCCAAACAGTAATTAAAAGCTAATATATAAAACATATGCAGCACATTACCCTCTTTTTGCCAGGTTCAGACATGCGACTGGCATAGTCATCGGGCAGCTGAAGGAAGTCTTCCATGCCAGACACATCAGTTTCTCGTTTTCTCTTGCCTCCACCCGCCAGACCATCCAGCTTGTCTGGAAGGACAAAGCAGCATCTAAAGTCATCACCAGTTCTACATCTAATAAACACTTATTTGTGTCAACAGCCATCCAAAGACATGTGTATATTGTATGCACGGTTTCAAAGGCTTTTCACACTGTGCTGGGTTAGCGGTTTTTTAACCCAGCTAGAGCCCATTAAACATACATACACTTTGCACATTCGTACAAACTCATGTGCTCACAAACTCACCAATGGATCCTCTGCCATCCATTGGTGAGTTTGTCCAAACAGCTGGATAAAAGCATCAAAATAATAGAGGTGTCTAGACAACACTATTTTCAACTAAAAATGTAAAACTTGTGCATTTTGGCCATTCATTTACAGGACACTTTTTTTTACTGGTGAAAGCAATATTACGGATAGAGGACTCGTATTTTAGCTGGAAGCAATGGTTTAGTTAAAACCGTAAGGAGTCGTAAGGTTCGCGTGTTGATTATTGTGATGCTGTTTGGACACTCATTCTGACGGCATTCATTCCAAATTCGGTTCCAATGAAGACACTTATCTAAATCCTGAATGTAAATTTTTATTCTTTGGGTGAGCTATTTCTTTTAACTGTCTGGGAGCAAAGTGAAAACGTCAAATAGTTCCAGGTGATTTAAAGCAGTCTGAGCAGACCTACATGACGACACGATTCTCACAGACGGACAAGCAGTTATTAAAAAAGTTCACATGCTTTGTCCAATTGTTGTTACTGACCTCAGTAATATACAAAAAAAATTATCCCTGATTTAAAATGTACAACATGCAATCTTGAAATCGACCTATGAAGGATTAATCAACCAAGGAAAAAGTATTGAAAAAGATAACCTCTATATGTCGACACCATATATTGGCGCTTTTCCACTGCATGGTACGGCACGGTACGGCTCGGTACGCTTCACTTTTGGGGGGTTTTCCACTGGGTACAGTACCTGGTACTTTATTTAGTACCACCTCGGTTGAGGTTCCAAGTGAACCATACAGTTACCAAAACGTGACGTGTAAACTCTGCTGATCACGGATTGGCCGGAGAGAATCGTCACTACCTGCATCACTGAACTTGCGACACAAACGCAACAGAACCGCAAGATTTAAATCAGCACAGCCAGAGATGGATCGAACGCAACTGTTTTAAACAAGCGCACCTTGTTTCGTTGTCTGTTGAGGAAGTACAGACGATCCTCTCGTTGATAGTAAAAATATTTTTATTTTTGCACCCTCAGATTCCAGATTTTCAAATAGTCGTATCTCGGTCAAATATTGTCCTATCCTAACAAACCATACACCAATGGAAAGCTTATTTATTCAACATTTTAATCAAAAAAGCTGAAAAAAAGCTCAATTTATCAACATAATTTTTCAGATTATGTATAAATCAAAATTTTGACAAATTGACCCTTAGGTTTTGTGGTCCAGGGTCACATATTTAAAAAAATTATATTAACGAAAACAACCATACATAAACATATATTAAAAGACAACAACAACATACAGTGAAAACATATTTATATTAATATTTTGTGTAAAACTACAAATAATACCTACCAAGCTTTGCCTCTGAAGTGTCCATCTCCCATTTGCTTTTCGGAAGGTATCCCTATATTACAGAGAGACACTCCAGTGGTTAAACCTCAGGTGATGAGAGACAGAGGGGACAGACAGCGTGACAGAGGGAGGACAGGGACAAAATAGGGGCTGGGGAGCAATGATGATGCTTTGGATGATGAGAGAATGAGCTTGAAAAAGAGATAATTAATAAGTCACAATAACGAGCTCTCAGAAACTGATGAACAGTCCTTACTCAGGATGAGAAAATGTCTATTGAATACAGAATAGCATGCATATTATAATCACTATGAAGTGAATATGAACCAAATTCCTACAAAAATGACTGCTTTATGCATTATTATAAATCACAAGGGCAAGACACATTTTTGCAGTTCAGTAACTATGAGATCAGACAAAAAGCCAACAGCACAATACACAGGAAAACTGACAAGAGTCCACTTTTAAATGTAAAATTATTATTTTCTGCAGCCTTTAGGAGTATTTCTCAATCCTGCCCTAATGAAATTATGCCAACACTAGATTTTTGGATTGAGAAACACGGACCTAAAAGGAAGCTCTCCTTTCTTATGTCAAATATATAAATAAGAAGTATTTTTGTAATTGGGAATTTACATTCAATTACAGTTATAGATATAAAGTACAAATCATTAAAACTCACTTAACGGAAATCAAAGTTGAAAATGGATAACTAAGTCAAATGTAAATTTACATCTCTTAATTAATGAAAGGGATTAGCATTATGGTACTGGCTGTTTTCACAAAAAACAGGAAAATTACACAGAACTTTGGTATATAGTCATCTGCGCCAAGACCACATTAAATGTGTGTGGTATTATGTGAGCTAAACTTTTTTTTTTCCTTTTTGGACCAAACATTAACAATTTTCTGGGTAAAATAATTTGTTACTAACGCACAAACAATGCGTTTTGTCTCAATGCATTCTATTTTCTGTTGTATAAAGAATTATATAAAATGTTTATGTTTTAATTTCAATTTATGCCACAAAAGTACAGAGATCATATGCTTGCTTCAGTCAAAAACACTTTCCCACAAAGACTTGAGCTAAGTCTAGAAGAAAAATGTCTGACTTCAGCTAGATTTAGAATTAAAGGGGTCCTATTATGCTCTTATACAAAGTCTTGATTTTGTTTTGGGGGTGTACTAGAAGAGGCTCTCATACTAGATTGTTCGAAAAACACATTATTTTTCACATATTTTACATTATTACAGCGTGATAACACTCCTTGCCTTCTCTAGTGCCGCTCAACCAGGTCTCGTCCCATTCGTCAGTATTTGTGATATCACAAATCCCGGAAAATATGCGTTGTAGTCCAAACGAGTCTCTTTGTAGTTTCTGAAAAGTGATTTCTGTTCAATAAAATATCTCCTTTTGTATTAAGCTTTGCAGATCTTTTTTATGCTCAAACAGCAACATTACAGACTAACTAAAGTTGAAAAAGTGAAAAAGCATAATAGGACCCCTTTAACCACTCCTATCCAACCGTGAATCTGCTATGAGCAAGAGATGAAGTGGAGGTGCACCACAATAAAACCCTGCCCTTTATTCAATATTCCCTTTCACCTGGAAATACATCACAACACTGAAGTCATTAACCAAGCAATACTTTTGTTACAGTATACAGTATGTATGATTGTCTTTGATATTTTCTTTCACACTTTTTTCCTGTTCATATTCTACATCATAAACATTTATTTTACCAGTTGTTTGCATTCCACGTTTCAAGAACGCCTTTCTTCAAACCTTATTTTTAACATTGTTTGTTCTTTTTTGTCTAAATCAGGGGACATAAAGTGGAGTGTCTTCAACAAAGAACACAAGGAGCAGTCTTGGATGCCATACTCCTTAACAGTACGTTGGAGATGGCAGGAGCCGTGTCCTGTGATTCATCAGAACAGGCAAACATCTTCCATTGCTTAATGGTCCAGTTCTGACACTCATGTGCCCATTGTAGACACTTTCAGTGGTGGACAGGGGTCATCATGGGCACTCTAATCAGCCCCATATCGTATTATCTTAAGTGTTGAGATTTTAAGAATGTATAGTAGTTTGTTTTCCATCTACCAGTTAAGAATTACAACAAACATTTGGTCCAATTTTCACATGGGTATGAACAAAAACAGCAGACAGATTGAACAAAAGCATAACTCCAATGTCTAACAGCAGGTGGCGCTTATGGAACAGCAGAAATAGAGCTGTTTCCGCGGTAACCTCTGTACACAAAGCAGCATCTATTAAGCATAGAGATCAGAGTACTCTCTATAATACTTTATAATTATATAATTGTATCTCTAATAAAGCAATAAGCCCCAAGAAGCTGTGGTTTACAGTGAATTTATAACAGCTAAGGGGAGTTGTTAGGCACGATGCGAAGCGGAGTTTCACTGTAAACCACGGTTTCACGGGGCTTATTGCTTTTATAAAACGGTTATTCCATATACGTAGTAATGTTTCACAGAATAAAACAGAGCAAATAAAGTGTAATGATATAAATAAAAAACGTATTCTTCCACCAAACAATGTAGTTCCTCAGAAACAGTATTAAAATATATAAAAAAAATAATAAACACGCTAGTAATAATGCAAGTAAGACACACATGCACAGTAAAGCATTAACCAAGTTATGGCGCATGTGTTTTAAGACCTGCGTTACGTCAAAATTATTATTTTTATTTGTTAATGTTTGTATACTGCTCTTGAGCATTAATTTAAAAAAAATGCATGATGCGGATCAGGGGAACAAAAATCCTGATCGGGACATCCCTAATATACAGTGGGTACTGGAAAGTATTCAGACCCCTATAAAAACACAAACATACAGATACATAATAAAAAAAAAATGGTGTTGCAACTTCCAACAAATTATGACAGTTTGAAGCCATAAATATGCACTCTTTGTTAAGAGTGTGAACACTCAAAACACCTTTGTACAATTTATCAAGTGATGATTGTATGATGGATCATAAGATCGTAATTGCATCATAGTTTACAGCAGGTCATAGTTGCCCCAGTACCATAAACAGAATTAAAATCATTCAATAAAAAAAATGTTAACAAATGCTGCATGTTTTTGCAAGAGCATATATTTATACTGCTCTTCAGCATTTTTAAATATTTGAATTAGTGTTATGAGGCATTGAACTGAACAGCCAAGATGTTAGAGTTCTAGTGGGGCAGTCGTGGCCTAATGGTTAGAGTGTCAAACTTTGTTTCAGTGCCAGCAGGGATTGTAGGTAGGGGGACTGAATGTACAGCGCTCTCTTCCACCTTCAATACTCACGACTGAGGTGAGACCCTTGAGCAAGGCACAGAACCTTGCGCAGCAAAAATGGCTGCCCACTGCTCTGGGTGTGTGTTCACAATGTGTGTGTTCACTACTCACTGCTGTGTGTGTGTGTGCACTTGGATGGGTTAAATGCAGAGCACAAATTCCAAGTACGGGTTACCATACTTGACCAAATGTCAGTTCACTTAGTGTTTTACAAACATCTCAATTATCTCTTAACATCCCAGGTGTTCATTAAAATATATAAATATTTAAAATATATATAATAAATGTTTCTGTAATAAGTAAGGAGTACTGAAAATAGCACTGAAATACCTTAAATTTAACAAAAATCATAAATTATGAAAATAGTAACGGTAATTGGAAATCTTGCATTTTGCATCAGGCTTCATTCAGACGTCACTGTAAGCCATATTCTGAAATCCTCACACTTTCAGTGTCAGCTTAATTTTAGCAAGACTTCAAAAAACAAAAAGGATCACAAAGCTGGATGTGCAAACATGGACAGAATTATGTGTCTTGAAAATAACCTTGTGCAAAGGGATAAATTGTCAAAATGCTTAAGTTTGCATGTACCTTTTCAAAACTAATATAATTGACAAACTTACGAGTCATGCTCTCTAAAATATGAACTACTAAAAGTGTTAACTTTTTTCAAATTTAGAAAGCTTAATTTTCCTAATTTGGCAACCATTCAGTTCAATTGTTCTTTAAACCCTAAAATTTACACATTTTTAATGCCAAGACTAACCATCATCCGTTAAAGTTCAAGTTGATCAAGTTGAGTTTCTCGCTTTCGTACAACATTCCAACTGTATCTACTGCATTGCACTGTTACTAAAAATGTTACGATACATTTTTTCTAGAATTCCAACTTGTTCAACTTAGATAAAGTTAGCAATGATATAAAACAGCCAACGATAATCAATTCTGATGCTTTTATCAACACTAGACAGGTTTTTTTTTTTCTTGCAAGGTGATTATTTGATTTCGATCTTCACACATCTTCTTAAAAGTTTACTACCGCAAGTAGTTTTACTGAATTAATGGCTCTATTGTGAGAGCTGTTTTAATATAAGCCACAAAGACAAGACTTGTGTAGAGAAGTTTTCAGGAAGTCTTACATTCAAATTCAAGTCCCACAATACAAAGTCTGTATTAGTAATTTGACTACATCATCAAGCAAGACATACAGTATTGGTGTGTTTATGTGTGCATATACTTATACTGAGGCTGTTTAATAATTGGCTAAACAAAATGAGATGGAGACAAAATAGATAAAATAAGAACCTCAAAGAAAATCAAGTCCATGCCATTAGTGAGGTAACATTATGTTTGCTGTTGCCAATATATTTGCTTGTGAAAGCATTTAATAATCCATATTAAGAATATAGAATGCAATTATTCCAAATACCCCAAGAGATCCCATGCCTCAAGTATATTCTTTATCTCATCTGTGTCAACTTGGATTGGGAAAGAGTATCCTGTAATGTTGATGCATGGTAAGGGTACTTACCTTGTTTGTTGCAAAACTGCATCACGTTTAAAGCAACTACAAAATCACAGTTTCCATTATTGTATAATGCATGCATGAAACTAGAGGTCCTACCAGATCCGTCTCGTCGTCATCTTCCTGTTTCACTTCAGCTTTTGGTTCTTCTTCAGATGGGTTGAAGTCTTCCATCTCCACCTATCACAAAAGCAGTTTGAGTTACTATGAGAAGGAAAGCATAAAAAAAATAATAATAAAAATTTCTTTAATAAACAAACCAACAGGTTTCATCAAGACACTTACATCTTCAATCGCCGCGTCCTGCAGTAGAGACCTGATATCTAGTCGTACCATATGGGGTGGTGCAGATTCCCAGCCATTGGCCAGCTGCGTGCAACAAGCATATTACTAGCCAGGCTTATGAACAGTTATGTCACATAATTCTGTTGATGAACTGAAAACGGCAGGCTTCAACTCAAAAAGCAAATCAAGTTAAAGAAATTACCTTTGTAATATCCTTTAGTGTTCTTCCATGTATGTTTCTTTTTGCACATGTTTGGTGATCAGTGGTGATTTCAGCCAAGTATACCTGAGAATAAAAAAAAAAAGTTATAGTACAGTGAGGCAGTGTTAAAAAGTATAAAGATGCTCTACAGATATAACTAGCTTATCCATTCATTCCTAGCTACTTAAATTTACATGAAACACCAATGAAGCTCACCTCAAACCCTTTTGTCTTAGCAGCGCTCCAGAACTGGTCAAAATACTTCACTTTATCATTGATGGCATCCAGGATTATGAAGGGAAAAAATCCATCATCCAGTGTTTTCTTGAATGTCTTCAACATGCTGCTTCGATAAGTATCTTCCATCTCTGGCTCATATTCATATTCAAGAACCTGATGAAGATTGTCAGAAAGATTTGCATGATCAGTTGGGGGAAATGAGTTGATTTCTCATTAGAAAGGAATGACGAACAGATTAATTCAAAACCTTGTTCTTGACACGCTTCCCGGTATCAGGGTCCTTCTCAACCTTTTCCACTTCAGTCATGAAATAGTCATCCAGACCGAGAACTCTGGGTGGCGCACCACCACATTCAACTTCTTTATCCTATATCAACAAAGGCAAGTTTACTTAACGGATGAACTGAAATGACAAGGTAAATTGCAAAAAATAAAAATAAAATGGAAGAAAACAGAAAACCTTACATTAGCAAAAGACATATATATATACATATATAGACTATATAAATATATATTAAGTTTTAGGAAGTTTCTTTGGCTCAAAATATCATCTCATCAATCATACTGAAACACATTGGTGGGGCAATAGTTTGAAGAGAATTTTGCAGTCAGCAAGTTTATAACTACATAAAACATTCTGTTTAAAGGGGTGGTTCACAGTTTTTTTTTTCTAGGCTTGATTGTGAGGTGCAGTCTAACATGTGCTAATGCTTCGTTTGTAAAAAAAAACAAAAAAAACTAATTTTTCACATAATTTACCTTTATTCCACACCGCTCTATCCCTTCTCTGGGAAAAGAGAAACGGGCTGATCATTTCCTGCTTTTATGAAGCCCCTCCCTCAGAAATAGGCAATGGGCTCTGATTGGTTAGCTAACCCAGTGTGTTTGGCTAAACCGCCTCTAGTGCGCGTCTAAGCATCCCACCCCTCACCTCAGCGGCATGTGCTCCGGTTGTATTGTAAACAACGGCGTCGTTAATATCGCTTGAGCCCGATTGAGAAGCAGAGGATATTATTGAAGAGGATCCTGCAGAACCTGTGGAAGCACGTCTTTTAGGCCTAGGTTTTTTTGTTTGTTGTTGTCTCATACTTTTCGATATGCTGTTATTTGTAAATGCTACTGCTTATGTTAGCTTTTAATATACATTTTTATCCTGATTAAAGCTTTAATACAGTACGGCAACTGCACGCGTGTCCATGTTTAACGCTTCTCATAGCTATGTGAAAATAAGTGTATAATTGGAACAGTTCATTGTTAGAGCTGAGCTGAATAATAGAGAGAGAGAGAGAGAGAGATGCAGAGCAGGGGGATGCAAGGAACAGTATTACGAACCGCTGCTTTAGATTGATTTTGAAACTTGTGAATCCATTAGAATCGTTAGAAGACAGAATCGCGATTCATATAAGAACAGATTTTTACGTGCACCTCTAGTTTTCTCTTCCTCTTCTCTAAAGCAGCGCAGCATGGCCTCGCCCCCTTTGCTGCCTTTTCCCGAGGGAGGGGATTATCTGGGTTTGTTACGTCACGAATCCGGGAAGTAACTTGTTGCAGTCCCTACCAGACGTTTTTGTAGGCATTAAACTGCCAGAATTTTAAAAGACAGTATCTCCGTTTGCATTGAACTTTCAGCTTCGTAACATTACACACTAACGTTAAAAAAGTGAAATCGCAATCAACCACCCCTTTAAAGGGGACATCGGATGCAAAATTCACTTTTACATGGTGTTTGCATATATGGTGTTTGTGTCTTAGCAGTGTGGACACAACCATCCTGCAATGATAAACATTTTTAGTCCCCAAAAAACCTGAAGTCTCAATTATCAGGCCGTTTTGATTTTCTGAGCAGTATGAAAATCCCACGCCCACGATCGCTGACGGACTGTCCCGTATTAGCATATTTCCACGCTTTGCCAGTTGTACGTTGTCTGCCATTTTCTCCGCGCTCGAGCAGCTGTAGCGACAAACAATGTCTCATAAGCAGTGCAGGTGTTTTGTAGTTGGATATAAAAGTGAACATAAGAGTCTTCATTTTCTCCTGACAAAATGGGCATCCGATGTCCACTTTAATAACAATAAAGACATTAATGCAACTCCCTCATCCACCTTCAGAATGAGTTTTGTTTCTACAAGAGTGTCAAGTTCACCATCAGGACCAGTTGAGGCCAACAGGCCAAGTGCATTAACAGAAAAAATAAATAAACATCAAAGTTAAGATTAGCAGTATATATGGACACAAAACAAAAACGATTACCCTAATAAGTTTTGCGACATGACTTTTGCCACTTCCAGGTAGTCCACGCATGATGACCACAATCTGAAAAGAAAGTAAACTGAGCATTGAGTTCAGAAGATGATTTAGAAGAAGATTCTGAAGGATAAGAAAATTGTGGTATACCCTGTCAGGCCGAGTCATTCGACCTGGGGATTTGAGGATGTCCTCAGCATTCTTTGTCTCTGGTTTCTTTTCCACACGAGGGGGAGCAACAGGAGCAGAAGGGGGAAGTGATGTGGGTGGTGGAGGGCGCTCATCTGGATAACTCCTTCGATCACCTGGGTACGAGATACAGGCAACGTTTCAAGCTTAGCAATTACTCAGTTATTTATGGTAATCACATTTGAAATGGCTTGTGTAATAGGATCTTTATAGGTGTGCAATTTCTATGCCACTAGCTTCACCAAAAGGAACTGCAAAAAGATTTCCATCAGGTTTCCCCAAACACCTTTCTTTGGACAAATATTCTCAACTCAAAGTCACAACGTTAGCTAAGCCAGTGTTGCTGTGTTGAGTTGGCCATGTTGTTCAAACCAACAGAGATCAGATCATTTGATTAAGCCATAATGAGATCACCAATGGATTTCTTACAGATGCCTTATCATTAAACATGGACAGACGGAATCTTTTACATTTCACTTACTACCATAGCTTGAGGATCCATGGTCATAATGCTCAAGATTCCTTTCATATGAAGACCTGTCATAGCTTGGTCGGTTATAAACCTCACGATCCCTGCTTGAGCGGCTTGGATGATCTCTTTCTCTCTCTCTGTGTCCTGGACGAGGCCCAAGTGGAGGTCTAAACCAGACATACAAAAAAAGAAAAAAAAATTATCAAAACAACATTCCAGATATATTGCCACACTTTCTTCCAGTCCAACTTGGTGCTCTTCACAGACATTTTGATGTAGGTAATGAAATGTTTAACATTAAATTAACTAATATGGGTATAATATACATAACACTCATAACATTTGCAACTGTGAAGGTCTGGAAGTACCCTACCGTTCTTCTCGCAGGTAACGGTCCCTTTCATATCTGTCTCGCTCATAATCCAGAGGTGGCTTCTCTCTGTATGGATCTCTCTCCCAATCCCTGTCATAATCTCTGGAACCGCCATAAGGGTCACTTCTTCTGTCATAGTACGGGTCTCTGTGGCCTAGCAGTTCTAATTAAGCAGTTCAACACAGATATGAATTAAAATAAAACAAAACAGTGTTCTTTCAAATTTAAAGAAAAGAACCAACCTTTCTCATAAAGTCGCTCAGATGGCGGTGGAGTAGGTCTCAAAACAATCCTCTCTCCATAAGAAATCCTTTCCACTGTGGCACCAACATCTGCTGAACAAAAAAAAAAAAAAAAAAGAAGTTTGTCCATATACATTTAAAACATATACTGACCCCGGCCATGCCCATAGTCCACTGTTTTAGCAATGAATGTGGCTGTAGGGGCAGGTGCTGAAGAAGAATGAAGGAAGCCTGTAGATTGAGTTGAAGGGGACAACCCAGCTTCCAAAGTTTGACTAGTCTGTCCCGTTTCTGACAATAAATTGGTAGCCTTTAAGAAAAACAAAATGGTCAAGCAATACTATTGCAATACTGGAAATTAGTTTCTGAATCAAAGAGTGTGATTTGAAACTCAAGGTTGGCATACCTGCAGAGCACTTTTAACCTCAGGTGGAATTTCCAATCCAAGAATTCCAGGGGGAAATTCTGGAGGCAACCCAGCTGACTCTGGGTTTGAAGTTTCTCCCAAAACCAACTTGTTTTCCTGGAGCTCTCTATGAGCAAACATGTCACCCAAGTTAATATTTTAACTTATGAAATATCAGATAGTTGGACTGTATGACTTGAAAGTTGTTTAAATAAAGACATACTGCTGGGAATTGCTTCTATACCTTATAATTTTCAGCTCCTGGGCAGCTTTGAGAATGATCTCATGCTGCCTTTGAGAAAGAGCAAGTACGGTTTTAGTAGCACTAGGTGAAGACCGCTCAAATGGAGGATCAAGGGCTTGAGATGCAGGCAGGCCAGCTAGCGGCTCTGGGTTGTGTTCATAATGGGGCTCCGTTTCACCGACTGGATGAGAGTAAGCTCTCTCTGGTGGGGGTGGAGGAGGAATCCTTTCCCAATCAGAACGAGAGTGATAAGGAGGCTCCCGATCATGTTCTTGATAAGGTAGATCATCAGCATAAGGTGGTCCTCTCCGTTCCTCTCTATACCGATTCTCATCTTCATATGGGAATGACCTTTCTCTTCCCTCCAACCAGTGATCATTTAAAATCACATCAGTTATCACATGTAGAACATATACTGACCCCGGCCATGCCCATAGTCCACTGTTTTAGCAATGAATGTGGCTGTAGGGGCAGGTGCTGAAGAAGAATGAAGGAAGCCTGTAGATTGAGTTGAAGGGGACAACCCAGCTTCCAAAGTTTGACTAGTCTGTCCCGTTTCTGACAATAAATTGGTAGCCTTTAAGAAAAACAAAATGGTCAAGCAATACTATTGCAATACTGGAAATTAGTTTCTGAATCAAAGAGTGTGATTTGAAACTCAAGGTTGGCATACCTGCAGAGCACTTTTAACCTCAGGTGGAATTTCCAATCCAAGAATTCCAGGGGGAAATTCTGGAGGCAACCCAGCTGACTCTGGGTTTGAAGTTTCTCCCAAAACCAACTTGTTTTCCTGGAGCTCTCTATGAGCAAACATGTCACCCAAGTTAATATTTTAACTTATGAAATATCAGATAGTTGGACTGTATGACTTGAAAGTTGTTTAAATAAAGACATACTGCTGGGAATTGCTTCTATACCTTATAATTTTCAGCTCCTGGGCAGCTTTGAGAATGATCTCATGCTGCCTTTGAGAAAGAGCAAGTACGGTTTTAGTAGCACTAGGTGAAGACCGCTCAAATGGAGGATCAAGGGCTTGAGATGCAGGCAGGCCAGCTAGCGGCTCTGGGTTGTGTTCATAATGGGGCTCCGTTTCACCGACTGGATGAGAGTAAGCTCTCTCTGGTGGGGGTGGAGGAGGAATCCTTTCCCAATCAGAACGAGAGTGATAAGGAGGCTCCCGATCATGTTCTTGATAAGGTAGATCATCAGCATAAGGTGGTCCTCTCCGTTCCTCTCTATACCGATTCTCATCTTCATATGGGAATGACCTTTCTCTTCCCTCCAACCAGTGATCATCTCTAATGTGCTCTGGGGGACGACATGGTGGATATTCTCTGTCAGGCTGCTCCCTGCCCCATTCCTCACGAGAACTGTAATACTCATCGTCTTGTTCATAATCTTCATGATATTCGTGGGTTGGCCTCCTGTACGCATCATCCTCTGCACCACAAGGGTATTCCTCCTCATAATTTCCTTCTTCGTGTGGTGGTAGGCCATGCCACCTCTCCCTTGCCATTGTGGGCCTCATCGGAGGTCTTCTAATCGCTCTCGCTATTTCATGGGCAGGTAAAGGAGGACGTCTCAGCCCCCTCCCACGAGGATGAGTCCATCCAGGTTCTCTGTCCATTTCTTCTTCATATCCAAGGGGTCCAGCTGGTTCCCTTGCCAAGATTTCATGAGGAGGTGGTGGCTGTCTCATGTCTCGCTCCATCATGTCATGGCGAGGTGGTGGTCCCCATGGGCCTAGACCACGTCTGAACCGTGGTCCCATTACCCCACGTGGTCCCATGTGAGGAGGTCCATGTGGAGGGCCAGGAGTAGGGGGGCGTCTTGGACCATGTAGCATAAATCGAGGATGGAATGGGGGTCTTCTGGGGGCACCTGGAGGAAAAGGAGGTCTAGCATGTATGGGAGGTCTTCTCTCTGTCCAGTATGGATCTTCTTCCTCCCAGTATTCCTGACGTTCTTCTTCCCAGTGTTCATCTGGATGAGTGCTCTCTAGGTGCTCCCTGTGACTCACTGGAGGTCTTCTCTCTCTAGGATCTTCATAGTACTCTTCTGGGAAGAGTTCCTCCTCTGGATGCCACATCTCATGGGGTGCTTCCTGGTCCTCCATTTCTCCAGATCCTTCTAAAGAGGGGTCTCTCCAAGCCAAATCTTGGTCCTCTCCGTGCGTTATGGAATCTGGTTGCTGATGGTCATAGGGATCCTCTGATACAATTTCTCTCTGACAGTTGGGATCAACCATTTGTCCTCCGTAATGTCCTCGACCACGTGCACGGTCCCTGCCTCTGAGAGGCAATGGCCCTTGGCCCCTTCCCCTTCCTCGGGTTACCTGCGGTGGGCCTGTCTGATTCATCACATGTGGCCCCCTAGGAGCCTCCTTAGGAGTATCAGGTTTAAACATATCATTTTGAGGAGGCTTTGCTTGTTGTGGTGGCCCGTTAGTAACATTGTTGGTTTTAGAAGGTTGTGAGCTCGACTTCTGAGAGTTTTTGTTGGTGGTGTTTGGACTTTCTGTAGGTAGGAATGGTTTAGTAGTATCTTCTTTTAACTTATCCTGCTTTGCAGTATCAGCAATGGTATTGTCAGATGTATTATCCTGAGTTTGGGGAATGGGTCCACTCTGAATAAAAAATCCATCCACTGAGTCCAAGACGTCATCTGTCAGTGACGGACCAGAAGCAGCACCATCTTTTTTGTTATTTTGATTGTGTGTATTTTTGTTTTTTTCTGGGCCCATTTGAGATGGAGCAACTGGTGGTGCATCAGGTTTTGCTGATAGTTGCTTTGTTTGAATGCTAGGGACAGGACTGGATTGCCCACCATACCCTGGTTGTTGAGGAGGTACAGGGGGTCTTTCAAATCGTGTAGGTGCATTCTGCCTAGGGGGGTTCTCAGGTCTTGCTGGAGCCCCAGGATGAGGAGGAATACCTCTGGGAGGTCGGTTAAATCGCTGACCAGTGTCAAATCTAGGTGGTACACTAAACCGTTGCTGGGGTGGCTGTTCAAACCGAGGGCCTCTGGGGCCTTCAAACCTGAAAAAGGAAATAAATAAAAATCAGTAACCCAGCTCCAGAAAAATGTGCTAATAATGTGTGCAATTCTTATTATAAATGCATTACCTCGGGCCATCAAATCTTCCATAAGGCCCAGGGGGCCCAGGAGGTCGAGGAGGACGAACCACTGGTCCAAGTGGTCCAGCTGTTTTACCTGTTTCAGAGACAGAATCTGAACTAGAAGATGGGAAACGTTGTCCCTGTGGAATAACCGGTCCAGAAGGTGGCGGGGCCTGTGGTGAAGGTCCTGGCATGGCATCCATGTTAACTGGTGGAGGCATTGATGGAAGCCCTGGGCTGGCTAAATGCGTGTTTCCATTTGGTCCGGGGAGTCGGTGTTGCCCATATGGTCCCATCATGCCCCCATACGAAGAAGCTGTACCATACTGATGCTTCATAGCTCTTAGAGTTGTGACTCTCTCTTGCAGATGCGCTGAAGTTGAATTCATTTGCTCTTGCCATTGTCTCCACTGGGCTTCGTAATCATGTAGCTGGTCTTTGTGTGGGTATGCCTGAAACTGCTCTAACCACAAATTAAAGTGCCTGTCCCACTCTTGGTACAAGGGAACAAATCGCTGTTGCTGCATTTCATAGTGCTGCAATTGCATCTCCAAGGGCATTGTCTGGTGGATATAATTAAACAATCATAATAAAATTATATCTTTACTTTGTTACATTTTTCTTATGTTTCTGCTCTAGACCAAAATATTTTCAGAGCTAACAATATAATAAGACGAGAAATTGCACCTGGAGATGAGCTGGCTGTTGAATAAGCTGTTGGTACTGTTGCAGGACCTGCTGTAGTTGAGCATGCTCTTGCATCAGTGCCTGGTACTGAATGCTGGCCCTTTGATGCTGCACATGCTGCCAATGGGCAGCTGCCGCCTGCAGCTGTTGAAGACGTGCTGCTTCAGCTGGGTCTCCTGTATCAGTGATGCCACTGGGCTGTAGTAAATATCAGTAATCAATTAAATATGAATAATCAGTTAAGGGTGTGCTATATCATAATGTCCACAATAATACCGGTATACATTTTTGCATGATAAAAAAAGTGTCATATCGCGATATCAATGATATAGCGACGCAATGACGTATGGCACATTTACGCTCCCTAGCGTGCACAACACCACCACAAACCCAATAGGTGTGTTCGACCTGAAGCAGCGCTGCGCAGACTGAGAGGTGTATGACATCAAAGTATCGCGAGAGCGATTCTAGAGCATTTGTATCAGTGATGCCACTGGGCTGTGGTGAATATCAGTAATCAATTAAATAAGAGTAATCAATTGACACGGTACCACATTTTTGAAGGCACAGAACAGGTTAAATAAATATATACACATAATGCATAAGCAAATCACTATATATTACCCAGAAAATTACCTTTGATTCCTCCGGTGGTGGGGGAGGAGGGGGTTCTTCTTTGGGAGGTGGGGGAGGAGGTGTGCTCTTTGGGGGTTCAATTGGAGGAAGTGGAGCAGGAGCATTGTTTCCATTAGATGAACTTTGATTCTGCTTCGCCTTCTCGTTTTTCAGCTTTTGCAAATTTTGACGATGCTGCTGATACCAATATTCCTGCTGCTCCTGTACACAATAAATACAAATGTAACAACATTTGACTAACCATAGTCATTAGAGTGAATTTAAAGTGAATATTTACTTAGAAATAATTCACCCAACTCTCCACTCTCAGGCCATCTAGATGAGTTTGTTTCGTCATCAGAACAGATTTGGAGAAATGTAGCATTACATCACTTGCTCACCAGTGGATCCTCTGCAGTGAATGGGTGCCGACAGAATGAGAGTCCAAACAGCTGATAAAAACATCACAATAATCCACACTACTCCAAGTCCATCAATGAATGTGTCATGAAGTAAAAAAACCCGGCATGTTTTAACAAACAAATCTGTCACTATTAAGGAGTTTTAACTTGAAACAATTGCTCACATTTCAACCAAACAATGGTTTAAAGGTGTTAATGGATTTATTTCTTGGTTTTTGGTTTCACAAAATGTTAATTGATGGACTGGAGTTATATGGATTATGGTTTGGACTCTTACGGCACCCATTCATTGCAGAGGATCCATTAATGAACAAGTTAAATGTCTTCAGATGAACAAACAAACTCATCTACAACTTTTATGGCCTGTGGGTGATAAAATATTCAGCAAATTGTCATTTTTGGCTGAAATGAAAATTTGAAAACCTTTTTGGACTTTGGGAAACTGTCAAACTAGATTCAATAACACAGCACTATAGGATAATGTTTTTTTTTTTTTTTTTGGTTGGTTGGTTGACAAAACGTGCATAAGCTTTTAAGATGTATTCTAGGGGCTGTGAGAAGGTTTTCACCATTTTAATCACCTTTTTTGCCATTGCTCAATAGCACTGACAAATCAAAGAACAAATAATGTAACTAACAATGCGTCAGCTAATATAAAGCCATAAAAACGACATGTATGATAAAATAATCAAGAAAGTGCTGTTTAAAAAATGTATGAAATACCACACAGCAGAACATGACAGTCATTTTAGAAAGCAACGACATGTATAATTTATTAATATTGTAATCATAATGTACTATCGTGATCTACAAGAACTGGAAATGCAATTTGTATAATTGTGCCTATTGCAACAATACGAGATTAATATTAAAGCATGCCACAGAAGCTTGCCTGCAGAGACATCGACGAAAAGTCGGGCTTTTCATCCGCCACCAACGCACTGGCTTCGCTAACCTGAGGTGCTGGAGCGAGGCTCTTCACTGCAGGCGATGAAGATGATGAAGGCTCGGGAGCTGGAGGTTTCCCTTCTGCTGGCTGAGGCTGAGGCTGAGGCTGAGGGGGGCCAGCGGGACCTCTTAGAGCGGATGGATCTTGAAAGCTGTTGGGCGGTGCGGCTTGCCAGTTCGGAGGCCCGCTGCCGCTGGCGGCGTTGCCGGGGTGATGCAGCACCGACTGCAGCTGCTTCAGATGGAGCTGCTGCAACTGCTGCATTTGTTGTAAATGCTGTTCTTGTAAACTAGAGAAATTAGACGGAGCGCCATATCCCCCCAATCCTCCTCCTCCTCCTGCTGCTGCTGCTGGAGGCTGAGCTTCCCTAAACTGATGAGGCCGCGGGCCGAAGTGTGGAGGAGGCTGGTGTCCACCTCCGTAACCGCCCCAGGAGGGATGCATGCTTGAACCGAGACACTGCGGGCCAGGCAAGGCCTAGCCGCCTGATCGCATAAAGCCGGTTACTTATCGCTAGTACTGTTCGCAGATATGGTCGCACTTATTAGCCAGGCTCTAACTATCATACGAAAGTTTTTAAAAAAATTAATATATCTTCACAAATGTGCAAAACATAAGATGTTTATATTCATAATTATAGTCTGAACGCTGTTTTCTCGACGAGCATGCGTCTGTCATCGCATTTTTTTCCCTCTACCGCATGAACGATAGGCGCATTAGCGCCACCTGTCGTACTGGTTCAGTGATTCAAGTCAATACTCTTCTTCTTCTTATATTTTTTACGGCGGTTGGCATCCAGCGCATTGGTGCATTACCGCCACCTTCTGCTCCGGAGTGTGGATCAGAAAATAGGTTTACAGACTAAATCACCTATTCTCCCACCTTTATCCCGACATATACATACCTACACACGCACACCTTATCCCTGCCCTGCTTTATAATAACAACAACAACAATAATAATACTTTACCTTCCCCACTATTCCTTTAACTCTTCATATCCTATTAAAACCCCCAGTTACTCTTAAAACGTTTATAAGAATTCTGTTCTGTGCCCTATGCTCTGTGCTCAATAATCCCTTTAATGTAATATCATGAACCCCGATCTCCCTTAGCTCATTCCTCATCACCTCTCTCTGTGCTCCAAACCTGTTGCATCTCAAGACCACATGCTCT